TTTTATTTATAATAATTGTGAAGATCCTACCCGTCCAGTAATTTAGCCGTTTTCCAGACCATTTCGGCGCTCTTCAGGTAGCTCTCGGCCCTGGCCGGTTGCTCACAAGCCACGCGGTTTAGGCAATCGTAGCGACCTGATTCATCGGCCACCAAATATCCAAGGAACAACAGTAAATCCGTTTCAGTGACCATGTTCTGCATGAGTCCRGTCCCTGCTGCATCCGGTCCATCCTTCCGACTTTTGCCACCGTACCCCTGCATATACGACGCTCCCCAGATCAGTCCCTTGAGAACCAGCATTAACACCACGTTGGACATGTTTAGGCTGAGCATCTAGACAAACAGATTACGACGGACACTGTATAATAATCGATGATCGTTCACATACCGTTGAGTATGGTAGTGCGGTCATCGATGAGGAGGACAGACGAAGGTATACAGAATGGTTCATCAAACATGTTTCTGATACCCGCTATTCTCTTTAATCATGTATTTATCAAAATTTAGATTTTTGGCATTTTCAAGTGTTAGTACTAAAACCATATTTTAAAATTGACTACTTATGTAATTTATGGAGTAATAAATACAAATGTATCTCTTTCAAATGATAACCATTTGTGGTCATTATATTATCTAAAAAATCACCGCTAGACATTCTTTACACGGTGGAAAAATATATTAAGTATAAATATAAATGGTCTTCATAACACAAAAATTATAAATTTCATCTCATTTCATCTAGAGTACTTAAAAATTCCAAAATATCAGGATTTAAATAAATGCATGATTAAAACATAAAACGGGAGTGAGCATACTTGGTGAATCATTTTTTTTTTTTTATTGAAAGAAAGAAACAGTCCACGGCCGCTGTGGCCATTGAACGCAATATTATATCAGTGAATCATTTTGTATATAAGTATAATAATACATAATGTAAACAGTAGGATTATGCATAGACTTGAAAGCCATCATATAAATGTGTTATTATATATGTATATAGCCATAGGTATAAGTTAGCGGTATAATGTTTATAAAAATAAGTATRCAATATTTAAAATGTCATCATAATTGTGTGAAGACCAAGTCAACTACTGATGCGGAAGTATCGTTAATTACGTCATAATCGACACCACAATAATAAGTAGCACCGGAGAGCTCGTAACGCAAAAGATCATATATCATGAGGTTGTGAGAGTTTTGAGATCGAAAGCTTTTAATAAATGTATCAATGCAGTATATATCAATTCAAGACGATTTCAATATAAATAAAAGTATTTTTTTGGAAGACTAACATAATTTTATTACTTTATTATATGGTATATATATATATATATATATAAGTGTAAAGTGTATACTACATATTATGTTTCGAATAATTTAGAGCAATAATGATTGTGCAAAATATTTTGTATTAATTACTGGTTTCTAATTAAAAATTATAATACACGTGAATTTGTGCGTCTGTTTGCCAGTATCAGATAAATTGATTTCAGTATGTTTTTACTTATTTTCTTTCAAACAATTACAAAATGCATGGATTTTAGATTTGGCTTTATTTAAATACCGAAATGTATCACAGTGTAATACAATTTTAATTTGCTTCAACGTTCCATGACCGTCCAAAATTGTAAGGTGAGGTCGTAGGGAGTGAGAAATTATACGCCCCATCGCAGCTGGCCAACACGATTTTCATTTTTCATAGACTAAAGTAATTTTCAGAGTGGAAACACTGTGAAATGGTTAACAATAAAAAAAAAACTATTGAATCGGATGAAAAACATTTTATGGTTACTTAAATTGTTATTTAATAAAGCAGTTTTCGTTTAAAAAGATAAAACTATTTAGTATTTAATGGTCAAATAAGAATTGTGGATTCGKACTGTTTAGAAAATTCGAAATTAAATCAAATTAAATTACAGCATTAGATAATATGGTTTAGGGCTCTATTAATTTTCAATACAGAGTAAGTAAATAGGCGTATTTTGGGAAATGCAATATTAATATATATATATTCTGATGAATAAATGATGATTTATTAATAATAACTAATAAATAACAAGTACCCAGATAATGATGATTATTTAAAAAAACGTAATTTTATGTTTTACTGCGGATCTCGCTTAACGATAATCGTAGAATTACTATCTAAATTTTTTAACTCAAAACCTCTAAATGAAATTTGAAAAAACTGTAAAAATCGGGTTGCGAAACTATAATTGATAGAATATATTATACGGCCAAATACTTATAAAAACTAAGTGCGTTAAAGCAAAGATTATATTGATTTTCGTGTAAACTAGCGTGTAAAAAAAACATTTATTGAAAATTATCTTTACGGTAGGTAGACATCTCAAATAAGAAGAAAGAGTTTATGTACTTACTACTATTTGTACASCAGCATTARGGTTGTCAGCAGGTATAGGTGGTACCAATGGTGTAACTAGGATTTTAGGGGCCATGTCATAAAACCTCTGGGGGCTGGGGCCCCTAACATTTTTAAAATAAACAAAAGATATTTACTATTTCAAGTTGGACAGTTTTGAATGTACAAAACATTCAATTAGTTCACCAAAGTTTATTTTTTGCTAACATTTTTTTCTATGTTTATTAGACCTAAACCTCGAAGATGCTATTAGTTCGCGGTAATGGTACTTTTCTRAAAGTTTTTAATTATTTCTTGAAAACGTTTGTTTTGAATTAGCACAGGTYACCGAAAAATTCAAAAATAAAGCTGTACAGTCTTTGGGGAAACTTGATGACCATAAGTGTTTTTTTTTATAATAATTAAATCCRCTAGTTCACGTATGGTTGAAATCTTATTAATTTCATTTTTAGTGTTATTCTCATACAACAAACGTCTGAAATAGATTTTTCATTTACGTCTTTTTTGTTTTGTTTTTATCTCGTTAATTTAAATTTTGAGTTTGGGGGACCTGACATTCAGTCACCAAAACCGGCCTATTTTTAACACAACTAACGTGGTACCGATATAGTCTACGATGAYTACAGTTGGCATTAATAATTTACAACTCGCGTTTGTACTTCAGTGCAATGTGCCAATGTACATAGTACGTTAAAATGATATATTGTTGTAATAAAGTGCGAATTGTTACGAGCTAACAATGAGCAAAATACATCGTCTAATTTATTGTGAGTTTCTATTATAATAAATGATAACGTAATATATATAATATACCGAAATAATCGTATTTTCACTGTGTATAAAACATACAATTCATATGTAAACATCGTGTCATTGTGACAAATCCAGTGTATCATTTTGAATCAAATATTAAAATATAACGTGTATATTTTTATTATGTATTCATTATATGGGTTTATGTKTGTGTGAGTGTGTGTGTGTATTGAAAACGATCGTATAGTGGTCGAGACAGCGTTAAGTAGAAGAGTCAATAACAGCATTGAAATATACTGTTATATTAAATTGATTGAAGACTGAAGTAAAGGCAGAATCGAAACGCAATATTAGTCATATAGAAATAAGATTCTCGAAAAGACTTTGGACAGGGGACGGGGGGTGTTAAAGTATTGTTGTATACATAAATGAAATACTAGCCAAAATGTCGGGTAGATCGCATAATCCAAGGGCCATCTTGAAAAACTGACAGGGACTGGACAGGGTGGTCAGGGAAGACATTTTGCAGAAACCCTGGCCGGTGGACCTCTTTTTTACACCCGGATTTATACAGTGCTGGTTCTAAATATACAATATAATAATACGTTGCACAMGCGTTATTACCAACAGTGACAAATTAAAATCCCATTTAAAAAATGTTTTTCTTAAATCTTTCTACGAGAAAATAACATAAAAATCTAAAAACCAATGTAGTATGTGTTGTTTTGTACTTGACTACTGGTGGCTCCAGTCCTGCTGATCATCGACTTGGCGAAACCCGCAAATATCGACTCCATGTCCAACGCCTTCGACTGCTGCGAGGCGTCTCTCTTCCGGTCTGCAGCGATTCCGGTGTCACCGTAGTCCGCGCGGTTATCACCAATCGCGTGTCCCTGCACTGCACGACTAGCCAACAACAGTAAGCACACGGACACGATTCCTGTTGGCTGCATCATCACGATTCCCTTTAAAAGAACATTTATTTATGTATAACACATAAAACATATAATACGGACAATTCGCCATAAACTACGTCATATAAGGTTTGGACGACGTAGTCCGGTCGACGACACTCACCTGTATATTATATTTGAACGAATAACTATTGATGTCAAACAAGTCTTGTGGTTGGACGATGGTCGTAATAACGTGGTAATGTCCTATATAGTGCTACGGTGTTGTGTTGGATCGTCTCCGGCGTGGTAAATGACTGGTCCAGACGATCAAACCACCGATTTTGTTATGTCTCCGGCCGGGAAAGTAAAAGTGTCACGTATTGTTCGTGCTTCAACAGCATATCGTTGCAATTAAAGTTTCACTAGAACTCATATGTAACAGCCTGCAGACAAACGGAACCGTTTGTTTACGCCGTCTGTGTGTTTGGCGGAAACTTGAAACCTACAGAATAAACGGCAGGACTGCCGCAGCCACTATAAATGAACAATCCGTCAAACTCCGTGACTGTAAAACAATTTGGTTTGTTCGTGTTTACCGTGTGTTAAGTGCAGATAATTATTGCTATAATTACACTTCCGTGCTCGTCGAATGTGTAAGCTTACCTACAATAGTATTTGTATTATCATTTATAATTATATCTTATGTATCTACACTTTCTACGATTTCGTTAAATAAATAGCATTGAAAATTAAAATTTTTCATACCTTATAATAATATACATAATATAATAGGAATATCTTGCTGATGTATTTTTGAATGAGGTAGTTAATAATCTTAAAAATTGAATTTTATTATCAAGTAGGTATCTATTGTTTTGTAAAAATAATAAAGTGGTGTAATAATTAATAGGCAAGTAATCTAACTGTTATGTAAATAAACTGCCTATCACGCATTTTATAGGCGAAACAATAAGAAATATCAACAGGAGCAGGAACCCCAAATCTTTTGATAAACAATTCATTTTTCTATATATTGATACTTCTGATAAATTTTTCAAGCCTTATTGAATTTTTAGTACCTAATTAAAAATATCGTTTAGCGTAGAATGAATCATACTTTAGAATTTTGAAAATTATTATTCAATTTAGAACACCACCAGAAATACTTACTAAATACCTATATATTCGATACGTTTTAGTTTTTTATTTTTAATCAAATATAGCTCTATGTCAAATCAAAAACTGAGTTTCAAACATATGTGTGCCAAGAGTTTCAATTCAGGCACCTCGATTAACATTTTCAGTGGTTCGTTTATATATATATAAACAAATGGCTTACAATTGGGGAACGATG